CAACAATAAAGAGAACACCAGAATTTACGAGGTTCGGCTAATTTTGCCTACTCCTCGGACACAACCAATATTTTATTTCACTCCAAAAATACAAGTGAAATAATACTAAAGAGAGAAGATACAAATGCCTTAAAGAGATGAGAAGGCAAATGAGAGGTGTGTTTAAATTCTAAACATTAAGCCTTCTTTTATAGGGGAAAAATCCCCCCAACCCTTCTTTTCCCACCGATGTGGGATAAAAGGTTTTGCCAAACTTCAACAATATTAACATATTATGAACTATAGATCTGCCTTGTACAAATGCTGCTTGGTTCTCCGCAACTATCTGACTCACACCTTGCTTTAACTTCAAACAAATCAATTTTGAGATGACATTATATATCACATTACAAGCAGCAATTGGCCTGAATTGACTAGCATTTTCAGGTTAATTCACCTTTGGTATAAGGGAAATATTGGTGGCATTGATTTGCTTCAGCAGTTGTCCAGTTTGAAAGAACTCCAGTACTGCCTCAGTGATATCCTTGCTTATGACCCTCCATGCAGCTCTGTAGAAGCCACTCCCATAACTATCTGGCCCAGGACTCTTATTGATATCAATACTGAACACTGCCTTCTTCACCTCCTCAATGGTGAAAGGTTCCAAAATCCTTAGTAGCTGGTCAATTGTCAACAGGGGCCCATTATTGAGGAATCCTCTGAAGGTGTTCACTCTTTCTTCACATGTTTTCCCTAAAAGGTCTTCATAGTACTGCACAACGATCTTGGCTATGTTTTTCTGTTCTGTTTGCATACATCCTGCAGCATCATTCAGCTGTGTGATGGCTTGTTTCAACTTCCTATGTTTGATAACTGAATGAAAATACAGGGTGTTTTCATCACCAAGCCTTATCCAATTAGCCTTAGTTCTTTGCTACAAATAAATTTCTGCTAAGTAAGAAGATTTTCTGAGTTTCTGATATTTCTCCCTTCCAGTTTGTTGTAATTCAAGGTTATCTGGATCAAGATGAAGTTGCTCTTGAGTATTCTGCAATGCAGTTCTATCCTCATTAGCTTCAGATACTATGTTCCTGAAGCTTTGAGTATTTAGCTTCCTCAATTCTCTTTTTAGCATCTTCATTTTCCTTACCACCTGAAACATCTTGCAACCATCTATCTGTATGTTCCATCCTGCTTCAACCACCTTCAGAAATTGTTCATGCTCTGACCATACATTACAATATTCAAATGTTCCTTTTGGCTTTCTACTATTATTTGGCAGTGATCACTTATGCCCTTAGGTAAGTAAACACCCTTACAGTTGGGCATATTTTCTAGCCACTCAGCATTGATGAACATCCAGTCAATTTTAGAGCATACTCGCTGACAGAGCCTTTACCATTCCAAAGTATATCTCTGGCCATTATGCGCTAACTCCATCAAACCACAGGTGTCTAAGCAAGTTTTGAAATCCAGAACTTCTGCTCAGGATTCCCTCCCAGTCTATCTTCACTACTTAGCACTGAGTTGAAATCCCCAACCACAAGCCAAGGCAGCCCAATTTTGTTGCTTTGTGTTATTAACTCAGTCCATAGTGTTTTCCTCTCATCCTTTGTGTTAAAGGATATACAAAGGAGAGGATACAAATTGTCTGTGTGGGAATGTATTTAACCTCACAGGTCAGTATCTGCGCATCTATAGTGATACGAACAATGTTATAGAAGTCTGGTCTCCATCCAATTAATACTCTCCCATTATAGCGAGCATCTAGATTAGTGATATATTGCCATCCTTAAAAAAAATCAGTGACTATGTCAACAATCTTATTCTTCTTTACTTTAGTCTCCAGCAATCCCACCAATCCTACTTCCTCATTTCTGCAAAGGGATTTTTCTTCCCTCTGCTTTTGGGGCATTAAGCCCCCTTATATTCCAACACATGATCCTAGCCATTCCTAGATATGGGAAATAGTCGACCACCCTCATTCCCATCTTAGCCAATTCTGTTGTCAAAGCTACTAGTTGTCTCTTGCAGCACATTAAAGGAGTTCCTAATACATGTTATTACTGCTATATTCAGTATATTTTATTGGTTGTATTCACTGTATTTCTATTTGTATTCAGTGTATTTTACTGTATTTTAAAATTAAATGTATTCACTATTTATATTCTGTTCTATTTTAATGTTAGTATTCAATATATTTCAATGTTTATATCATGTATTCATGCATATTGTATGTACAGTATGCATAAATACAGGTGTATTCAGCTGTATTAAAAAACTACAGACCTTCGAAATACATAAATACAGGGAAAAAATATTTATATAAAAATACAATATATTTGAGTGAATTTGTGCAGAATACAATGTATTTATATCATTGTATGTGACTAAATAGCAAAGAAGAGAAGAAAGTTCGTTGGAGATGGCATTTTCTAGCAAAACAAAATACTGTATACATTGTATTAAAACTAAAAGTGGAGACAAACAAAAACTGCAACCCTCAAATCTTCTCCGGCGTAGAAAATATTGCAGTATCCATCGTTCATGTCACAGTACCCATGCTCTACTCGGATTATTCCGACATCGTTTTTGCTCCCCGTGCAGTGGGCCCTAGCCTCAGAGCAACGATCCCCTCCTTGCTACGGAGGAATCTGATTTTGAAGAAAAGGTCTGTCTTTCCCCTCTTTCTCCCAACAGTTTAGAAGTATTTTCAGTTGTCCGACGAGTTTTGTGGCCTAAAGCCAAACTTTATGAGGGGCCTTAACTTTTTTTTAAAAAAAATAGATTTTATTTATTGAAGTCTATTTTTATAACGTCTCTTAGATACAAAGTTATTAATAATTTTCTTATCATCAATAACTCCTAATAAATCTTTCTTAATTGACAATATAGCTATCTATTTAGCCTTTCTTGAGAATTGTTGATCTTAGGTAAGATTTTATCAATTTTAATTTTGAAAACTTTTTTCCGCTGAAGCGACGATAATAAGAGTTATTAACATTATTCCATAAGTAATATATGCATTGGAAAAAGAATCAAATCTTTTTATTTGACCGAGTGTATCAATTAAACTGTTATCTTCTAATTGTACTATTTTTCTTAATACTTTTAATTTCGAAAATAAATCTAAACCATCAATATCAAATTGATTATTACCCTTTAAGGGACATTCAAGATTAAGGCAATATTTTTTAAAGTTTCTATCATCTAGTGATCTTAATTTTAACGCTAAATAGAAAATCAAAAATATTTTCATATGCTTCGAATTGTTCAAATCTATTTAAAATGAAAAAAATAGTCTTGTCTACAATGTATAAAACAATCAACTCCAACGGACTCTTCGAAAGATTTTGAGATTTTATTATTAACATTCTTATCAAATTGTTACTTCCTATATATCACATGTTTCTTACGAAATTTGTATTCGATATTCATTTCAAGTGCGATTTTCTTGACAGAAATCATAGCAGTTGCAAATCTTTCTTCTCTGTACTTGTTAAAGAAAGAAATCAAACTTTTTCACTTCAGAGTACCTTTTTAAAAACTTATACATAGCCTATTAGGTGTAACAAAAAATGGGGACCCCCACAAAAGTGGAGCCTAAAGCATTTGCTTTACTTGCTTTGTGGAAGGGCCGCTTCTGATTGCATTAACCCTTGAGAATTCAGCCAGAGAATTCAAGATTAGAAGCAGGTATTTTGCTCGAAGAGAGAGAAAGAAGAAATTTTTTGAGAGAGATTCGTGTGTTAATTGAAAGAAAGAGACAGGAAAAACATAAATAACGTATTTCACGTCTCAATAGTAGTATATACCATAAATACCTATTTTGCTATAAAATATAAAAGGTAGCTATAGAAAATAATATTTTAAAATAATTATGATTTATAATAAATAGTGTGTATACCTTTGTTATAGGAGTTAAAATTTCTTAATTAGTTTCGGGCGCGGGCTAAAACCTGATCTTTGTGCTAATATATAAGTTGGGTCATATCTTCCTCTTTGGCCTGAAGCCAAGTAATCCAATACCCCCAACACTTCTTCTACAAATGGTACCAGACACAAGTAAATGAACAAGCAGATGCCTTCTGTACAATACAATTTTCTACTGCGAAATCAGTAATGTTCCGTGTTAAATTAGAACGTCTGTGATAATTTCATTTCATCAGATCTATAGGTGGCAACATTAGCCTACTTTTGTAATCCGCCTAACACTCCCATGTTTAAATGATTGAGAAAACTACCTTCTATATCCCCTCAAAATTTTAATAGCCCATATTTTGTCTTACTTACAAAAAATGATCCTTCGGCCCAAACGTATTGCATATAGTAGCCGAAAGGAATAAGCATGACAACATAAGTGCTTGTAGCTCAGTGGTTAGAGTGCCTGTTTCCTAAACTGAAGGAAAAAGGTTCGAACCTCACATGGTGTGATAGAGCAACCCTTTTTTGCCTTTTTAAAATTTTTATATAGTGATAATCTATTTTGTACATATTTAGTGATAATCTATTAAAATTTTGAGGGGCTATAGAGGGTAGTTTTCTCAAAGAAGGAGCAAACTTCATTTGTGGCCAGCCGCTAGAAACTAATATCAGTCGCTGGCCACAAAATTGCAGTATGCATTTTAACAGTCTATTTTGTATATATTAACAGTCTATTTATATAGTGACAGTCTATTTTGTATATTTTTTGTATAGTAACAGTCTATTTTGTATATATTAACAGTCTATTTATATAGTGACAGTCTATTTTGTATATTTTTTGTATAGTAACAGTCTATTTTGTATATATTTTGTATAATGAGAGTTAATTGTATATAAATTGTATAGTGACAGTCTTTTTTTTAAAATTTTTATATAGTGATAATCTATTTTGTACATATATAGTGATAATCTATTTTGTACATATATAGTGATAATCTATTAAAATTTTGAGGGGCTATAGAAGGTAGTTTTCTCAAAGAAGGAGCAAACTTCATTTGTGGCCAGCCGCTAAAAACTAATATCAGTCGCTGGCCACAAAATTGCAGTATGCATTTTATAGCCCAAAACTAATTAAAAGGCTAGCCACCGACTCAACTATCATGCAAGCACAATCCCATCCTTCATCTAGAAACCACTCTTCTCCAATTCCAACCCAAGTTCCAAAATAGAAATATGAAATCTAAGATAAGAAGCAGGAATTTGAGATCTTCAATGTCGTCGTATTTTTTGCATAGTGATAGTCTATTTTGTATATTTTTTGTATAGTAACAGTCTATTTATATAGTGACCGTCTATTTTGTATATATTTTGTATAGTAACAGTCTATTTTGTATATATTTTGTATAATGAGAGCTAATTGTATATAAATTGTATAGTGACAGTCTATTTAGTATATTTTTATATAGTGATAATCTATTTTGTACATATATAGTGATAATCTATTAAAATTTTGAGGGGCTATAGAAGATAGTTTTCTCAAAGAAGGAGCAAACTTCATTTGTGGCCAGCCGCTAGAAACTAATATCAGTCGCTGACCACAATNTTTGAGATCTTCAATGTCGTCGTATTTTTTGCATAGTGATAGTCTATTTTGTACATTTTTTGTATAGTAACAGTCTATTTTTATAGTGACAGTCTATTTTGTATATTTTTTGTATAGTAACAGTCTATTTTGTATATTTTTTGTATAGTAACAGTCTATTTTGTATATATTTTGTATAATGAGAGCTAATTGTATATAAATTGTATAGTGACAGTCTATTTAGTATATTTTTATATAGTGATAATCTATTTTGTACATATATAGTGATAATCTATTAAAATTTTGAAGTGCTATAGAAGGTAGTTTTCTCAAAGAAGGAGCAAACTTCATTTGTGGCCAGCCGCTAGAAACTAATATCAGT